GGGGGGGGGATAAGAACCCCTGATCCGGATCCAGAATGTAGCCTATGTTAATCAAATGGGTAGTGCTACGGTACCAAAACACCAATCAGTGTTGAAAAAACCGTTTATTTTATTTTATTTGCTTAAATATTATTTTATTGTTTATAAAAACCGTTATTCTTTTTTCTTAACAATAAGAACCGTGATTTCAAATGACTCAAGTAGAACTCTTGATTGGGAATAATTCTGTAGTATGGTATTTAAGAGTTAGGATAGTTCTACCCTAATAATTTATTACATAAAATAAAAATTATTTCTCATTATTCTCTCCATTTCTCGTGGGCTTAGATTGGATTGAACTTCCAAAAAAAAAAATTATTTTTCATACAATTCAAATCCAGCTAGGGGTGTTCATGGGCTGGGTTATCCATGGTTCTGTTATCCGGTTCAAAAAAAAATAGGCTCAAAACTCAATAGATTCGATAGTTGACCCACTTGAGTCCGAGTTCGATATTCTTAAAAAGAGGACTTGAGTTTATCTTTAAATCCATTATCCAATTCGGAGCTTGGCCCAAGAGCCTAACCGTCAAACTCAACCCACCTACCATTCTTTTGAAAAAAAGTTATACTTTTAAACCATTAAATTTGAAAATTTGAAATAAGTTTCTTAATGTCAAAATTTGAAATTTTAAAAATTTAGATACTATAAATAATGTATTATTTTATTTTTTGTGTGTTAAGTATACAAGTTTTAAAGGGTAAAATAATGCAAATGATAAAAAAGTGAGTAGGTGTTAACCTAGTTGGAATGTATTCATTATATTAGGTGTAGTTCATTCCCTAATTAAAAATAAAATTATTCATTATTTTATTTTTATTTATTTTGAATCTATTTTTGATTCAAAAATATAATTTACACATATATTAAGTTATAAAAACATTAATTATTTTTAAATAAAATTGTATATAAAAAAATCTGCGAGCAGACCTGTCCAATAAGTTCGCAAATTGGGCTGCAGGTTGTCTACTTCTACCCGAAGCTTCGTCCGGTCCACTCAATAATTTACTTGGGTAAGGGCTTGAGCCTACACTACCCCGACCCATTCGGAAAAAAATTACGCCGGCCTAACTTGGTCCGGCCCATGTACACCCCTAAATCCC